CCTCACCTTTTTTTGATTTTTTCCACCTGAGGCCACATTGCCAGACCTCGGTACACACAGAAGGTTCCGGTCGGCTAAATCTCACCCAGGAGCCCAGATCCTCTGGAGGCGGGAACATGCTCACATCATGGCCCCTCCACCACCGTGCCTTACAGTTTCTATAGGGTGTTTGTGTCGATCTGCCGTTTGCTTCTGTTCATCACGGTCCAACGTCTCTGCTTTGGTCTCCTCTGTCTGGAGGACATTGTCCCAGGCGTTCTGTCCTTCGTCCATCTTGGTTCTAGAGAGAAGAAACTTTCAGCCAGGCTGAATCAGGGTCATGACCTTTAACCTTGTTGAGTTTGTTTTTTTGGTCATTTTTCTACTCTGATGTTGGCCTGAAGCTCCCTGGAAGATCAGAGCGTTCTGAGATGTTCTCCTGTAGGATTTGATCATTGTCTCTGCAGGACGAAGGACGTTAGATGGACAAAGCATATCCATGGCGTCCAAACAGGCCCACCAGGGTCACTGCTTATATATCTGGCCTGATGCTCCAGAAGGGTGAACGCTGTGATCCAGCTGTGAACCTGGCCGCAGCAGACCGGTTTAAACCTGCACCTAAAGGCTGCAGAGTGAGGCTGGCGGCGGTTTGCTGCACGTGGTCGGCGTGCCTCTGCAGAACAACGAGTCCCGCGGTTTGGCGGTTTCTGACACGTCTCTCAGAACAATGCCCGTTGTCATAAACAAATCAATTACAGACACATAAACAGCTGTGGATTACGCTTCCATGCGTTTACAACATAGGATCCAGAAGCTCTACATGGAGACGGCTGCCACTGTCGCTCCGTGTTTGAATGTTTTCAGGGCGGCAGGAAGGAATAAGTTTGAGTCGCCAGGCGGAGGACAAGGCAGCTCTTTGAGCCGCAGCAGAGCATGTGTTTATATTTACTGGATGTTATGAGGGCTTGGGCACATGCCACCCCGCTCTTTCACTCTGGGCACCACAGCTTCACTCCACCCAGCCCCAGTGAAGGAGCACAAGGAGCCATTTGAATCCACTTATACACAAAACATGACAAATAACCGAAGCCTGTATTGTCTGATTCCTCCGTGACTCTCTGCTGCTCTGTGTTATGTCTGCCCTCAGAGGGGACCGCTGCTAACCAAATGTGACTGCCGAGGCCCAGAGGCTGCCTGGGTGTAGTGGGAGCTGTGGAGGGGTACTGGTTTATAAGCTGGCTCGGTTTTGGGGAGCGGTTTTTTGGCTCCGCTGTTAAACGCGGAGAATCTTGGAGAGAGTCCAGCACAGTGGGTTTGGGAGCTAGAAAACTGTTAGGAGGGGGAGCTGCAGATGAAGGTTTTTTTTCATCGGGTCAGAGCTGAGCAGATGTTGCTCTGCAGCTCTGGAACATTCTGCGGTTATCAGATATCTGGGAGTCTCTCTGCAAACAGCGGCGGCCCACACAGAGTCCTGAGACCCACGCTGATCCTAAACGCCAAAGAGAAGGACTCCTTAAACGACGCTTAGAGGAAGTAAAAATGTTTTGCCGTAAAGTTTCCTCTGTTTAAACCTAAATTTTTTATTTTTTTTCATGAAATGGGAAGGAACACATTCATCACTCTAACTTCCTGTCTGGCGCCTAAAACTGGAAATCCTCAGAAAATCAAATAGAATTTTTTTCCCCTCTACTTTGAGTGAAAAAAAATCCCTTTAATTGTTTAATAATTTCTTTTTTTCTAATATCAAAGGTTCACTTCAGCTGTTTTCTAAAATGTATGTTTTATGCTAATTTATCTAAAACTCAAAACTGTCATCGGATTAAATATATACGGAATAAAAACCACAAATATTCAATTTAGTTCAGTTTATGTGAGCATGCATGTTGCGACAGTGGAGAGGAAAAACTCCCTTTGAACAGGAAGAAACCTCCAGCAGAACCAGGCTCAGTGTGAGCGGCCATCTGCTGAGGCCCACTGGGGTTCAAGGAGACAGAAGCAGACATAGAAAAAGAAGCATAGATACAAAAGGCAACTGTCAACCAGCTCCACAGGCGGCCCCGTCCAGGAAACACACAGCCAGGCAGACGAGCTCCGAGCCAGCTCCCATGTCAGAGGATGAAGAGAGCACATCCAGTTAGTCACAGTCAGAGAAACAGGACTACACTGGAAAACAGGCCAAGCTCCAACATCTAGAAACAAAGGTGTTGATGGCAGCAGCACAGCTGATATTTCTCTCCAGGATGGAGTCACAGCCAAACAGGAACAGACCAGATGAAGCTACTATGAGAAAAAGCAGAGAGAGCAGAACGTTAGAGATTGAACTAACAGATTCTGCAGAGTGGGAGAATAGAGATAGAATGATGAAAAAGGGGTCCCTATGTCCTCCAGCAGTCTAAGCCTATAGCAGCAGAACTATAGAGATAGAATGAAGCAGAATGATGAAAAGTTTTCCATCCTGCAGAAAGACTCTTCCAGAAATACGAGGAACATGTGGGATTGTTGCCACATGTACCAAACCCAAAGGTCATGAAGGTTTAGGGTGTGGACATTTATGCAGCCATGTTATGGCCCATTTTTAATTTTCACGTCTCTTTTTGTGTTTTTAGTTAAATTTTACAGCATGCGGCACAGCAAAAGTAGGAATTGTTTTTATGTTATTTTTGCAACCCTTTCCAGCATGATCGGTAATAAAACGAGGCATTAAAGCAGCGGAGACTGCAGAGGTATGGAGGGGAGTAAAAAAAGCAGTGAATGGATTTAGATTGGGTCACATTTTTGGCTTTTGTTGTTTTCAGCTGCGTCAAGCTCAGTTATGAAACATGGACAGAAAAAAATCCTCGTCATCATTTCTGACTTCCTTCCGCGCACTTCAAGAAAATATGGAACGGCTAGGAAGAGCTGATGCATTCTGCAGAAATCTGGTGCATGCTGCGGAAAAAGCCGCAGTGAACATTTGTGTTTTAGGATTTAAAACAAGAAAGATGTTAAAACTGACCTGGAAGAACCGTCCTAACCTCGCTCCACTGCTCATCAACAGCTCAGCTGTAGAGATGGTCAGCAGCACCACGTTCATCACAGACACCCTCACCTGGACTGGAAACACCACCTCACTGATATAGATGGATTTATTGCTTAGTTCATCCATTGACTGGGAAATGACCAGTGGAACGTCTTCCTGCAGACAGAAATCTGCTGGTTTCTGCAGCCAAATGCTGAACAGGGAGGGATTATTACTGCGCATCTCTGTGGGGGTGGGAGTACCAATATGGCGGCCGGTGGCTTCACTGCAATCCACTGAATAAATACAGATCAGTGGGTCCAGCAGGTTCTACAACAGCTCTCCATCCATCCATCCATCCATCCATCCATCATCCATCCATCCATCCATCCATCCATCCATCCATCCATCATCCATCCATCCATCCATCCATCCATCCATCCATCATCCATCATCCATCATCCATCCATCCATCATCCATCCATCCATCCATCATCCATCCATCCATCCATCATCCATCCATCCATCCATCCATCCATCCATCATCCATCCATCATCCATCCATCCATCCATCCATCCATCATCCATCCATCCATCCATCCATCATCCATCATCCATCATCCATCATCCATCCATCCATCCATCCATCCATCCATCATCCATCCATCCATCCATCCATCCATCCATCCATCCATCCATCATCCATCCATCCATCCATCCATCCATCATCCATCCATCCATCCATCCATCCATCATCCATCCATCCATCATCCATCCATCCATCCATCCATCCATCCATCATCCATCCATCCATCCATCCATCCATCCATCCATCCATCCATCCATCATCCATCCATCATCCATCATCCATCCATCCATCCATCCATCCATCCATCATCCATCCATCCATCCATCCATCCATCCATCATCCATCCATCCATCATCCATCCATCCATCCATCCATCCATCATCCATCCATCCATCCATCCATCCATCCATCCATCATCCATCCATCCATCCATCCATCCATCCATCCATCCATCATCCATCCATCCATCATCCATCCATCCATCCATCCATCCATCCATCCATCCATCCATCCATCCATCCATCCATCCATCCATCATCCATCCATCCATCATCCATCCATCCATCATCCATCCATCCATCATCCATCCATCCATCATCCATCCATCCATCCATCCATCATCCATCCATCCATCATCCATCCATCCATCCATCCATCCATCCATCATCCATCCATCCATCATCCATCCATCCATCATCCATCCATCCATCCATCCATCCATCCATCCATCCATCCATCCATCCATCCATCCATCCATCATCCATCCATCCATCATCCATCCATCCATCCATCCATCCATCCATCCGGCCTGTTGAAGAGCAGAAACGTGGAGAACTTTGCCCGCAGCTTCTCATGTTTTCTGCAAACTGCAGTTTATTTCCCACAGAGAGTCATTTTCACTGACCTTTAATGTTCCTTTTAAGTCTCGCTTAATGATTCAGAGCTTTTCCTCCCTGTCGAATAAATCGGTTTCAGTTATAGATTTACTCGCACCTCATTGGGCAGAGGGACAAGTCAAACCTCTGGCAGGCCAAAGTTTCCAACAGCCTCATTTAATAAACTGATGGGAAAACGTGCGTAATGTGGCGCAGAGGAGAAGAAGGAGAAGCAGAAAAGGTCTGTTTAGAAACCGTCTCATGAAAACAGCAGAAAGATTCCTCAGAGAACAAAAAGACGGTTTAAGTTGAGTTTCCAGTGGCTGTCCATTAACGAGCCAAGCAGCTGCTCCAGCATGCCGGGGCTCTGATGCCATCAAGCCGCCGCCGCCGCCGCTGCTCATCCGTTTGGAATGACCTGGATTATTTCCGGAGCTGCAAATGATTTTACTTTGGAGCGGATTTATTTGTGTGTGATGTAACATCCTTTATTCTGTTTTTTTCTGATCCGTCGTGTTTTCTCTGCTCTCTGATGTTTTTTTTTTGTTTGTTTGTTTAGATGGACACCACATCTGGGAGACTGAGGCCAAAGTCGACAGAGACACGCTGAAGCCAGTAAGCAACACATCTGTGTAGGAAACAGCTGTTTCCAATGATCTAGCATTGGGAAAAGTAAAATAAACCAATACTTGAATGATTCTCCATAAATAAACCTCCCCACTGATCTAGTCCATCGTCCTTTTTTTAAACAAATCTGAATCAGCATGTTTCATCATTCAAGCTCTTTTTTTCCTTCAGTAATATAAACATTTTACGTTCTGTAAACATAAAGCTAAAACTAGTAGGTTGCTGATAATAATAGTTAGATGATCTCAAATCAAAACATCTCAGCAAACTCCGCATCATTACAAGCAAACGTCTATATTGAAATAGTTTTTATTCTGCTAAAATAAAAATAAAAATCACTAATTCCAAATAAATCTAGTGAAACTACAGTTAATCAGATGTACTCCCAAGAAAAAAAACCTGTGGGTTCACCTTAATTCAATCCTCCGCTCTGTGAAAGCACAGGGTGACTGTAGAGCAAAACACCATTTCTAGGAGCAGTGGCCAAACAGAATATATATGTATATATATATTTAGTCTTCAATTACTGTGTTTGTTTAAAAGTAGGTTTGAAGTCCAAATGAAAGAATAGAAATGTCAGGTAAGATCTGCATGTCTCTGTAATCTATTCTGAATAAAACACACAATCCTGGATAACATTTCCATGTCAGAATGAGCTCTGATTCTAACAATTAGCTACATTCAGCCTGAAGTGACCGAAATCTGATCTTTTTGCCCAAATGCGACCTGGATCTGATCTTTTCATGACAGCCTGGACAACTTAGATCCCTTTTCCAATGCAACTCAGGCCGCTTGGCTCTGTGGTCCTGAATCCGATACTTTTCAAATGCGATCCGTGTCTGAACGGCAGTGGTGTCAAAAGTTCACACTTTTGTTACTTAAGTAAAAGTATAGATACTGCAGTTTAAAATATCTCTGGTAAAAGTTGAAGTACTCAAGTAAAAGTGAAAAAATATGTGTTCCAAAAACTACTTAAAGTATACAAGTAAATAATAACCTTTAGAAGAGATTTGCTTGGAGTTGCCATATGATGACGTCATAAAAGGGGCGGGGCCCCGAGCAGATCTGGTACCTACATCGGTGCTACCATCCATGTTTACTTCTGTAGACACAACGCGCTGGCTTGTGACATCATGGCGTCCTCTACTGCGCATGCAGGATACTTAAGCTGTATGACTCCAGTTCGCACGGGAGATCTCCAGCAGAACGACGCTCAGTGTGAGCGGCCATCTGCTGAGGCCCACTGGGGTTCAAGGAGACAGAAGCAGACATAGAAAAAGAAGCATAGATACAAAAGGCAACTGTCAACCAGCTCCACAGGCGGCCCCGTCCAGGAAACACACAGCCAGGCAGACGAGCTCCGAGCCAGCTCCCATGTCAGAGGATGAAGAGAGCACATCCAGTTAGTCACAGTCAGAGAAACAGGACTACACTGGAAAACAGGCCAAGCTCCAACATCTAGAAACAAAGGTGTTGATGGCAGCAGCACAGCTGATATTTCTCTCCAGGATGGAGTCACAGCCAAACAGGAACAGACCAGATGAAGCTACTATGAGAAAAAGCAGAGAGAGCAGAACGTTAGAGATTGAACTAACAGATTCTGCAGAGTGGGAGAATAGAGATAGAATGAAGCAGAATGATGAAAAAGGGGTCCCTATGTCCTCCAGCAGTCTAAGCCTATAGCAGCAGAACTATAGAGATAGCTCAGGATAACCTGAGTGTTTTGGATGAGGTATAGGAGGTCCAGCCAAGGAGAAACCTCACTCTGTTTCAACTATAAGCTTTATCCAAAAGGAAAGTTTTAAGCCTTCCTAAATCACTTTTTAACTACATTCCCAATGTGATTCTAAGTAGTCGCTTCCCTGCATGGGAAGATTTCTCACCAGGACCCCAGAGGTCAGCTGCTATGGACGGATCCTCTGCTACCGAGACAGAAGTTAGAAGTTATCGTTGTTAAAAAGATTTCAGACTTTCTGTTTTCCAGCCTGTGGGAGTTTTTTTCTCCGTCTGAGACTGAGGCATGACTCTGAAAGATAGACGAGGGGATTAGAGCATGTCAGCGTGTGAGGCGCTGCACCTGCTCCCAGTATGTTCCCATTAAAAACACGTTTGCACTGCTGAGACACATCTGTCTGCCTCCCTAAGGAGGCGAGGAGTTTTCCTCCCATTCGCCTGAAGGTTGGATTGCTCCCATTTTAAACACCGTCTCTGCCGTGGACAGATTTAACCTCCGCTGACAGACCGCACTAAGCAGGAGCTCCTCACACCTGCAGATCCAACTGTCCCCCACGGGTGCAGGATTTGAGCCGTAGAAGGAATTATTTCACTGATCTGTTGAGATTGAAGATTTATTTTTTCTCCGAGCATTACAAGGATTTAGTTTGATCTGTTTATTTGTTGTGGAGTATTAGTCAATTAGGTCATCTTAATGTGAAAATGAAGTCATAGTATTCGGTCTACAAGATTAAATTAATAACATTACAGAATTAAAATCATAACATTACAAGATTATTCCAAAAAAAGAAAATTAAAATCAATCCTCTGGACTTTGTTTCCAAGTTTGAAGACGTTTCTCTTCCATCCAGGAAGATTTTTCAATTCAAAATGTCAGAAATAGCGTTTAGTTCCAGGTTTTATCCAGCAGCCCAACAAAGCCTGGTTTTAGTTTAGAAAACATGCAAATAGAAACGGATGAACGGGTCCCCCCCTTTGGAATGGGGGTCGTTTGGCTTCTTTGTTTGCCTGCAATGCCCCATACCTGTCTATGTCTCTGAAAGGGGGGGAGTTACACTGGAAAAACGACCTAGAAATAGGTAAAAAATGTCTTAAATTAAGTGTATTTAATCTTAATTTGAGCAGGTAAATGAGATAGTTTGCCAATGGAATGAGTATTTTTACTCTTAAAATAGGATAATTAGATCGTTAAAGGGAATAGTTGGCCTGGCTGAACAGGTGAGGTCTTCTGTTCTGATGCATATCTTCTGGATTTCTTTGCTGATTTGGAAAACATCCAGTTTGGGTTTCCACAGGATAGGAGAGCCTCCTTGATGTGTTTCTTTTCTTTTCGTTTCTCTTCCCTTTGAAAGCTTCCTGGATGGGAAGCGAAACGTCTTCAAACTTGGAAACTAAGTCCAGTGGATTGTTTTTAATTTTCTTTTTTTTGGAATGACTATGACCTGGATGACTGAGAATCTTCACCAGCATATTACAAGATTATAGTTGTATTGTTAGAATGAAATCATAATCATATTGTTACCAAAATAAAGTTGTAACATTACTAAAAAAAATTTTTTATTTTTTTTATTTATTTTCACAGATCAAAATAAAAACTCAGAATACACCAATAGAATAAAATAAAAAATAAAAATGTGATGGAGTGTGACAGAAACCCTTTAGGGCTTATACCAAAGGCCACACCCGTAAACCAACAAAACATCAGGCAGCTCACATTATGAAAGTCCTTTCAGAGAAAACAGAATAGACATATACAGTAACATTATTTTTACATTTTAGCATTCAGATTTCAGGGGGTCAAATTTTTGTAAAATCATACATCACTGTCATTTTTGGATAACAGTATTTTTTTCAAAGACTTTCTACCATTTATTTCTGAAGATTCCAAATATTTTCCATATTCTTTCCATAATTTTGCACCACGATGCCGAAAAGAAAATTGCACTTGAGTTTTAATACTTAACGGTAAATGAAAAGACAAAGCTTGTCTAGTATTATAAGAATGCACTTGGCAGTTCCTAACAAAATATTTCTTGAAAGTATCAGCAGACTGACCTTGTTTTATCATAAAAATAAAGGTACATGTTTCATGTTTGATAAATATTAATTTCAAAAATATTCAACAGCTGTAATTTGGAAAAAAAGAGGAGCACTAGCTGCATCAACTTTAGAGAATGTTGCTAAGCGAACAAAAGCTTTTTGCAAAAGTAGTATTTTTTTAAGATAACTAGGAAATGTACTTGCCCAAACAATATTACAGTATGACAGGTATGGATAGAGTAATGAATAATATAGAGTTAACATCACTTTATTGTGAACAAAATTTCTAATCCTTCTCAAAATACCTAGAGATTTAGTGACTTTTTTGCAGACTGTACCAATTTGTTCTCTCCAAAGGAGTTTGTCGTCAAGTTGGACACCCAAAAAACGAACAGTAGAAACTTTATCAATTTGTTGGTTTTGAATACAAATTCTTATATCATCAAATGTATAATTTTTGTGCCCAGCAAAAACCATGAAATTACATTTTTTCACATTCAAAGATAACTTATTGGCTTGGAACCAGGTTGAAAACTGGGCTAGATCTCTGTTCAATTTCTCTGTATTAATAGTCAAGTCTTTATGAGAGATTAGAAAATTTGTATCATCTGCAAACAGAATAGGTATTGTAGAACTTGTGACATTAGCAAGATCA